CTGCCATTATGGTTTATCTCTTGCAGACATATTATGTTTGCTTCACGTGTTTCTAATGAATGGACCAGGAGTAGCTTACGGCAGATGGACGCTTCTGGAATCTAAGGAAAAAAACCACACTACTTCGAAACTTCAAGAGGTTACAGTGAACACCTGGCAAAATACCGAATATAAACAAGCATACGTTGAAACTAAATTCAAATATTACTGGACGAACAAAAACGGACGGCGTATATTAGATGGACCGTTGTTTTACCTGTTTCAAACCTTTCAAGAGAAATCGGGTGCCCGACTTCGACGATGCAAGTCGTCTTCGCCTTCTGGCGTGAAGAAAAACGGATCATACGACGGCGAAATTGGATTGCTTCAACGAGGCATCGCTGATATCTCCTCTAACGCGTTTTTCCTCACCGACGATAGACTGGAATTTGCCGATTACACGGTCCCCGTTTTACAGAACCCCTTGTGCATCATAGTGAGAAGAGGTGCCGCAGTGTCTTTTACGCAAGTGCTCCTTCTTCCCTTTCAGTCGTATGCATGGGCGGGTGTATTCGGATCCCTTCTTACGGCCGCATTTGTTCGGTTCGTTATTCATTACGCATCCACATACCAAAGTTCATCCCACTGGCGAACCGCCACAGTGCAGAACGCTCTCCTAGAAGTAACACAAGTCGCGTTCACTGGATCTACTTACAGGGCTCACCAGGCGCAAACCTCACCCCAACGCATTGTACTAGGAACTCTGCTGATATCCGTCTTGGTCTTAAACAACGCGTACCAAGGTCACTTGCTGGGATTCTTGACCAAACCACCGCACGAGCCCAGCCTGGAAACCTTGGAAGAAGCTTCACGAACACTAAAGCGTTTATTCACCAACAGCATCTTGAACAGCATCTTCGAAACCGGAGACGTTACCCCAGGTCTCAGGCGCCTCCGCAAAGCAATGGATCTAATCAAAACAGAAGACGCTCCAGTTGCTTTCGGAAAAATATTTTACAATCCTGACCAAGGACTAATGCTTCCCATTTCGTATTACGACTTCTATTCTCGAAACCCCGAATTCACCGCGAACGGGGAAAGAGTACTCCACCTCATTCGCGAGTGCGTCAATCCCCCGGGATACGCGGGAATCCTGGTGAGAAAGAATTCTCCTCTCTACGACGCGTTCAACGCGCACTTGATGCGCGTTCAAGAAAGCGGCCTCTACGTTCGTTGGGAAAGGGGGCAGCGCTACCGCTTGGATACTGACGGAGCGACGATTCCGCGAACTCGCGATAAGGCGACGCAGCGGCACTCGCCTCTGAGAGCAGGGCAACTCGCGGGCGCCTTCTCGCTGCTGCTGGCGGGGCTAGGTGGCGCTGCGGCGGCCGCCGCGTTGGAGCTGCTCGTTGTAAGAACGAGCTGATACAATTCTTACAACCCGCTGATCCTGAATTTGACAACAGGGGCGGCCAAAAGTGGGAGCAGTTGGAGCAACTTGCCCAACGCTCCGACTGAATTGGGGCCCCAAAAAGGTTTTCATTCAAAGTATGTAAAAAACCCGCTATAAGTCATTTCCGTTCCACGGAGAGATGAATTATATTTATGTATTAGAGATGGGCAGCTTTTATTTGAAATAAAAAGTTCCCCATGAAACTTCTGTCTCAGACCACATGTTTCTTTCTTTGCGCCCCTGTTCTGCAATTAAGAACATGCGGTGATTCGACAGGTCGATGAAGACTTGAAGACCCGACAGAACAGTAAGGTTTCGAAGGGTCCGATCCCGGCGGTTTCGAATCCCGAATGGATGTTCTTAGTGTCGTGGAATGATAGGGGCTTTTCCAAACCACCATGCAACGCTTAACATAATATTTCCTCCCCATTCCACCCCCTGCCAAACGAATGTGCGTGCGGGCGAATTTGACGGCCGATGAACAATTGGAGGATACACAAACTGGGTCTTCTTCAAACGGGTCTACGGACTGTGACGTGTGGTCATCTCTCTACCCCAGAACCTCCCTAAAACTATAAAACAAATTAACTCCAAAACCACCTAACAAAACAACATCTCAATAAAATCAATGCCATACTAACTTCATAAGAAATAGTTTGAGCTACCGCCCGCAAACCACCCAATAAAGCATAATTAGAATTAGATGATCAACCAGCTAATATTATAGAACATACACCTATTCCTCGCTGTTAGCTCCAGTGACAAGTGGGTGCGTTTCTGCAGAGGGCCTAAGGGCCATTGCGTCGGAAAGGTGGGAGGCTGGGGTGGCCCTAGGGAGGCTGATGTGTGATACCAAATACTGATAGCAACAGATGTAGGTATATGCGTTAGCTGCTAAATCATCAGAAAATTCAATGACTGCGAGATGAATGTGCGACTACACGATTTTGCAATATATGCAGCTATGCCACAAACATCCAAATGCAATTGCGGAATGTCAATAATTTATGGACCACGATCTTGGAGTTGCTTAAACTGCACTGTTCAAGAACACTTTTGAATGAATGTAGAAAAAAGAACACAATAACTGTTCACTTTATCATACTTGAGTACATGTAAACAATTTTAACACAAACATGTTTAATAGATTAATGTATTAAAACAAAACACAAACATGTTTAATAGTATGTTCATTTGAAGAATAATGTGATTCAAAGAATGTAAACTGAAAATTCAAGAACACCAACAAAGTACTTGGATTCCATATTCCAATCCTGGATTCTTTACAAGAATCTTTCTTACCACATTCAGTTGAATTGGGAAATCTACTATCTTCATGGTTTATGCTCATAAGAGAGAAAATAAAAATGCCGTAGATTCTCAGAAAATCAGCCTCCTATGGCAATCAATTGCAGAGATACAATGAGACACATGTTTTTCTCGTTCTTTTTTTTTCCTTCCCCCCCCCCTCTTTCGCCCCCTTTTTTCTCTTTTTCTTCCCTACAGAGTTGGGAATAAATTGAATAACTGTTAAATTTCAAAGTATTTTTTGTCAGCCAATTTTGACACCAAATTCAAATAGGAAATAATAAAAAATAAAATTTAAGAAAAAGGAAGAATAATTTGTTAATGAGTCTTGACATGATAATGTTGGAGTACTGTCTCAGCTTTCCCCCTAGAATGTCATATAACATTCTCATAGTATAATATTTTTTTAGATTTTTACACAATGTGGCCAATAGTGGATAAATTAAACCCAATTTTATCAGTTTAAAAATTTGAAATTCACGCCAAAATGTGTTTGGAAAAGATTTGTTCACCAATCTTTAAACACATATGTCAATTACGGCATTTCAACTCAAGTACATGTTACATTGATTGTGTAAAAACTGGATTCATAATTGACACAGCAGTTTTTAATGCTATTTGAATATCTAAGGACACCAAGGGGAGACATTCAAACTCAACCTCATAAAGCTCACTCGTAGAGTACAAAATATTCTTTCCCAGCATCACATTATAGCAAACTTTCTTTACATGATAATCTTTACTAAAAGAACACAGATATCAAACACCTTTCTCATAATGTTAACATTGTGTCCAATAAAATTCATTAAAAAAGTCACTAAGTCACAAACAAGGGAAAGAAAATATTCACCAGACTCCGCTCACACTTTTACTTCTAGAGTTTACTACTGAGCCAAAATGTACCAACCAACTTGATGCTTGTTTTTGCGCTAACACTTGAATTATTGAACACAATGGCACATTTCCAATTTTTAGCATTGAATTCTGGCAAAGCAGGATTGAATTTTTTCTCCCAAGTAATTCTCTCCAAGTGTAAATACATCAACAACTATCAAAATATTTAAGAGTGGACTTTAAAGTTTCCGCATTTAAAATAGCATGGGTTCTCAATGAGTCATTAAATTTTCTTCTCGCCCCTTTCTAGTTACACCAACATTGACACCACTTGAAATGTTCTCCCAACCTCTTCAAATGGGAAAATCAAGTCTCCTTACCTTCATGCCAGGGTACTGCTTAAAAACTCTGAACATGGCCACTTCTGCAGCAATTGTTTTTCCTGAACCAGTAGGTGCACCCAATAGAACATTGCTGTCAGTGTGATACAGACAATGAAAAATTTGGGTCTGCACAGGGTTGAAGTGTGAGAAATTGTACAGAGATTCAAATGCAGGGTCTTTGAGAACTGTGATAGGCAGAGGTTCCAAAGGAAGAAGATCTGAAAATAGTAAAATAGACTTAGTTAGGGGGGGAAATTGACCCATGTAAAAAGATGAACTAATCACAACTCATCTACTTATATCACAGAACAGTTGAACCTGATGGAATGGTCACCACTAATAACAGCCATTTCACAGAACTGACTAATTTTTCTGTAAGGTACTTGAAAATATTTTGTTTTAAATGGTAAGCCGGTTCCCTGAGTAAGAACCAAATAATAGATGAACCTGTATTTATTTATTGCTTGTGTTTATTGTTTATTTGATTGTTTATTTATTCTTTTAAATACACTGATTAGGCAGTTACACTGATAATATTAATGATAGCTACTTCACATCTGAAGAAAAATAGTTAATTTATAGAATTAAAAAAACACAAAACATCATTATCTCTATCAATTTTGAACTGTAACACAATAAGAAGCAGAAGAGTAGTGGGGATTACTGTTAATTCAATATCTTCCTCTAATGCAAAGCATTATCAGATTACTTAGAACAGAAAAATCTTGGATCACTTCCGATCAGAGGGATTAACTTGGTTTCTAAAATGAGGATTTTCATGGGTGTCCTCAAGGTTCTTCAGAATGTGAATTGTAGCTTCCACAGTGCGTCACGAAAGTCTCTCCATACCTTCATACCTAATCTGGGCCTCCTATTAAAAATCCATTTATGTTGGTAGCAGCCTGATGATTGGGAAACAAGTGAAGAGAACAACACTACCAGCATATGTTACGTTTATGGTGAGTACGCAATACATGTTTTCTTTTATTACAAGGTGCAGCTTGTGCTACCAACATAACTGCTGTTGCTAGCTCTCTCAATTGCACAGCGAAGATACTTTCCTGGTGCATTGTACTTATGATTTTTGAATGATGAGCCATGAAAGTGAGTTGCTCTTGGTAGTAAGTAAAGTGGGAGGAAATGATTTCAAAATTTCAGGACCAGGTTTAAACTAAAAATGACAATTTTTCAATGTGGAGTTTAAAGAAAACTTGATTACATATTTCTAAAAGTTGTTACTATTTCATTCCAAACACACATTAACTAATTATATTTTTAAAATATTTTACATGAGAATATTTAATTATCTAATTTTGAAGAACAGATTTCATTAAGAAAAAATGTCTTGTCTTCAACACATTGTAGGAAGATGCAAAAATAATGTTAACCTTTGCAATGTTTCAATATTAAAGAGATTTCAAAGAAAAGTGAAGCTTCACCCCTTCTGTAAGCATACTTTGCTCTATTGGAAAAAAAATATCCTAAAATTTGGGAATTATTTCACATCATTTTGAAAATAATATTGAGGCTTCAAATAAGTACCCGCAAAAATTAAAATATCCTCATCAAATTCAAGGGGTCATAATATCTAGTAATCAATCTGGGAATATCAATTTTTGTGAAAAATCCTGTGAATGATTTAGACACTATCATTGTTCACTGACAGACACGTTTTGTTGTGAGTCAATTTTCCAAGGGTCAACAAAAGGGGCCAAGGATCAACAAAATGACTGCACAGAGAGTCAGAGGAAGTAATTTACTTTATATTGGAGCAAAAATTATCCATTTTCTCAATGTCAGGAACCATCACAAATTTATCTGTTAAAAGATCGCGTTTCTTAACAGCAGCATCATTATATATCTTTCTCTCGAATAGTAGTAATTTGTGGGAAGGTCAACCAACATATACCATAGTTACAAATTAAAATTAAGAAATTTTCATATATTAAAACATACCTGTGTGAGGTGGATGGTGTTCAGGTAAGATGAGATGCTGAAAGGTTAGTGGATATGATGTACATGGACCCAGCCATCTATCACTAGTGGCACGAACATAATACTGACTAGGCAATGGTTCTGTCAACGGAATGGTCATCACAAGTTCCTGCACTTCACGTTTTATTACCTGAAATTACCCAATCAACAATATATTTTGCCTAACTACTTACAATAAATTACACTTAAAATTAAAAGTAAATCAAAATATGTTAATACATTTTCACAAAACTCACCTGTTTTCTTGTAAGTAGAAAATATTCATGATGGTATAAAAAGTTGGAGTCTGGATCCTCTACCCACACCCAAAAGTTCTCTGAGGTTTTTCCATGGACACGGTCATTCCAGGTAAAATTTGCAGTGATAGATAACCGGATCCGAAGAACAGTTCTTGTTATTGGTTGTAAAGATGCTTCCATTTCCAAGAGGGGGAATTCATAAGCACACTTCTTCACTTGTAGACCCATTTTGTGATGTCGCAGAAATATTCCTAGCAAGTAAATCAGTAATTATTAAACTCTGGGCAAATAGTATATATACACTAGAAATAGTCAATTATATAATTTAATCATGTTTTAAAATATGTAATAACTGGTCAACATTATCCTTACCCTAAAACCATGAAATATAGTAAAAATAAATAGTAATAAAAAGTAAAATAATTGTGATTCATTTTCATTAACATTAAAATAAAAAATAAATAGTAACATTTACATCCTAAGTACAATATAATTATAGCTAGGTACACATAGAGGCTTTCAATTAACATAAGTTACCAGAAAAGCACTTTTTACTTTTGATCTCACAAAAAACTTTAAAAAGTTGTTTGAGTTACGTAATCCAAATATGATTTATAGAGTTGCACATAAAGTATAAAGAACTGTTAAAAAACCTATATAAATTGGAAACTGATAAATCTGTCTTATGCCACTACAAATTTTAGTAATCTAACAATCAAGAAATTAGATGATGTCTAGAACAATAAAAAAATGTTACAAGAAAAATTATTTTACCTATTTCCTTTGCATCCATGTCACGCAACTTGTGAATACTTAATTTACTGTCTTCCAATCGCTGAATAATATCATGACCTAAACACTGAAACTGTCTTAAGGGAGATTCAAAATCCCACTGTCGCCTCTCTAACATTTTGCTCAACATAAGAAAGCGACCAGACATAACTGCATTGTTACGACGCAATGCAACTTCAAATAAAGCTCTCATTATTCGTACAGAATTCTGAAAAGAACAATATATTTATAAAATTATCATGTAACATCTATTAGCTTTATTATACAGGGAAAATTAATATTTCATAATTTAATTTTAAATTATTCATACATTTTAGATATTTTTAATATCCACAAACATCATTACACAAATAAAGAAGAGCCAGCAAGTTACTGCAATTACATTTGAAATAGATTAACACATCAAAAAAAAAGATGAAGCAACAGGAAACCAGTTTCCACAAGTTAACATTTTTAAGCTCAATTACAGAGGAAGGAATCAAGTATAAACAGAAATTAAAGTAAAAACTACTTACTTGTTGCACATAAGAAAGATCAGAAAGAAGGGAGAAGGAATTGACATTGCCACGTGAGAGAAATGTCTGCAGGAGGATATTTACTTTCCCATGGACATTCTCAGAGCCTCCTGCCACCTTCACTTCACAATTTATGTGAGTGAGGGCATCCAATTCATCCAGTTCATCATCACGTACCTATAAAAACAAACATGCAAAGAAGAAATAACGTTTCTTACAATTCAAGTCAAAATCATTACTGAATACACAGGAGATAACTAAAAATTATTTATTTCTGATTATTATTTCAACAAGTTGAATATGTATGATTAACATGAAACAATAAAAATTACAGTTCAATATTTTTAGAAATGTAATATTTTTATAATTTCTACTTTAGAAATTGTATTTCTAAAGCACTTGCCTCTTAGTACTCTTATTTACAACATGCACTATATTGCTTTCCATTACTGCTAATCAAGTGCCTCAAGAAAGGAATTATAGATTTACAATTACTCTACTTGCTTTAGATTGAATAAAAAAATTGAAAAGCATTCAATTGTTTTCAATCGGTTACTTTGGTTGTAAATAGCAATATAATAATCTTACTTTTAGCTGTTCAAATTCTTGAGCCTGTGACACCATGGCAAAGACATCTGCTTCTGTCATTACATCTGTAAATGACTGGTTGAACACCTGAACAGTGTTGTACTTGATATAGAAATGTGAAGCAGTGCGTCCTAAATCTGTTATGCTCAAATCACCAGTTTTCGCATTGAATCGAATCATGCGAGCCTCATCAAGTGCCTTTGCGGCTATCTCTATCAGCTCACGTCGACGTCGCAGCAATGTGTTATCATTCTGTAAACACAAGTTTGTATAATACGTTTTGAAGAGTGCTATCTAGACATTGTTTATACTAGCATATACGCATTGCACTGAAATATGCACATTTTATACTGCACCATAGAATTAAAGTGTTACTACAATTATTATACTTTCTTAACTCCAAGCATGAAAAATTACAACACATCAATTCTCTTCAAACGATTATCTGTCTATATAACATTATTTTTGTCTCAACTATGTTCTAGTCACAAAGTGTGTAATGTTATGAGTGAGGGTACAATAATGAGATATTTAGGAACTCACCACTACATCCTGATAGTTAATGCCATATACTTGAGGGTTAATTCGCATTCGCACATATAGGTAGGTATAACTCAACCATTCAACAGCTTCTTCTACATTTGTAACAGTACCTAAAGCAACCTAGAATTCAATGTTGACAATCAATATACAGAAGAACTGGATGCAAAACTTTGAGTCTAAATTCGGTCTAAATTCTTTGGGTATATGCAAGAACCTCATAAGTGACACTTTTCTAAAACATCATTTAATTCAGTAATATAATGCTGTAAGTTCCTGACTATATCATACATAAAATTGTGCAGTTTCCATATCCTTGAGAAAGATGTCTCTAGCTTTATGTTTTACTTCTGTTTATTTCCAACTCTCATTCATGTTCCTGATAGGTACGACGAAGCTGTTCATTTTTGTCGCTGTGAAGTAGTGGAAAGCAAAATGGCAAAATAAAAAAAGCAACTTTTTAATAAAGAAAATACTTATGACAATAAAGATCAGTATTTTTTTTTCCTATTAAATTATACCATTGCAGTATTGATATTACAGTTGAATTTTATTTAATGTTTCACTGTTTCATGGTCGTGTGAAACCTCTTTCAATTCCTCATCACATTAAGCAACATTATGTCATCAAATCATGAAATCCAACATTATATTACATATTCTTATACATTATATATCAATTATTATACATTATATATCAGGGATGGGCATGTACGTGCGCTCGGAGGGAGGGGGGGATGACCCCATTAAAATTTCTGGAAGTGGCTCTGAACCCCTATGTAATAAAACATTTTCTCTCCATTATTATTATTAGTTCATGATTTTCCCCATTTCTACGCCCTTTCTTCAGGTAATTGTCACAAAACATTTGGGAAAGGAGCTTTATAAAACATTTGGCAATCCTCTACATATTTCAACAAAAAACCAATTGCTTTGTTGATTGTATCATTAAATTAATATTTTAGCAGTCCTTCAATGTTTTATTTATTTACTAAAAAATGTCATAACTGAATAAAAAAGGTTATTGGAAAAGGGGGTACAGAGGGAACACAAGGATTGATTTAAGCTATGATCAACTATTGGAGTGCGCACACAAACATCATGAAAAAAAGTTATTTAAATTATTTTTAAATTTACTAAACGAAGATTATTGGAACAGTGCTGCTGAAACAATGACTGTGTCAGGTAATGTGGTTACTTATTCTATACAAGCCTTACCAGCCAGGTAAAGTAAATAAATATAAGAACATATGATTATGAGGAAAAAAGAAAAAAAAATTCAAGAATCTTTAGACTAATGAAAAAAAAAAATATTATTAATGTTCAGAGAGCCGCACTTTTCTCAATGAAGAAGTGCATTTCCACACCATTGCTATACAAAATTACTTATTAGACTCTGACCCTGATTTTATCAGATCTATTAGAAATTATTAATAGTTTAGGGAACTAACATCTAATAAGGATGTGATATAAATCAAGGCATATGAATCTTCTTATAAACAAAATGGGTCACATTCTAGAAAACCTATAAACGGAATGAATCAAATCAAGATTGAACTCTGATATAGCACATCTGTGATTAGTCTTGATAGTGAACACGAATGGCAATTATTATGTCACTGCCATTCTATCATGTTAATATTAACTATAACTTGAGTTATAGGTCTCTGAACTTTGCTAATAAATTTCATTTTTCAGACAACTGACTATAAAGATTGAATCAAAATAGAAGTTTCAGATGGCCCAATGAGGACTTATTAGACTGTGGCATTTTCGTTGATTTTAATTGCCTAATATAGGTCAAGGTGGTGTCACGATCTGATATAACTTATACATAAAAGAATTAATCTGTGAAGTGAGAAAAGCACTGGAGGAACTGCAAGTTCACAGATGTTGAGCTAAGACTTCAACTGGACTGTACCACCTTTGGAAAGAAAGATAAAAATATTGTTTTATTATTATTTCTAATGAGTCAATACAAGAGTACCTTTGGCTTCAGGCCACTTGTTTGAACAATATTAAGAAATGCGAGAGAAAATATAAAGAAGCAAACTTAAAAATCTGGTCTAATTTTTTTATTCAAAATACACTAAATGAAGGTTTCATGAGCAGATAGTAAATATAAATTATCAATATGTAAAATAATTTCTTACCTCAGCATTTAAATTATCAGCCAAGCAAGTAATGAAGTTACTCTCAATGGGATACTGGTTGGTTAGAAGACTCAAATAATGACTCAGTTTGTCATGAGAAGTAATTATCACACCATGGCCTGATTTATCAAACTGAGGACGTCCAGCACGTCCAAAAATTTGCAGAACATCAAGAATACTTAAATCCACATAAGTACCGTGTTTGGCATCGTAAATTTCAGTTCCCTAAAACAAAAAAATTATTATAATGATATCTTAAAAGTGATTCTGAAATTCTCAAATGTAGATTGAAAACACATACCCTAATAATGACTCCATGAGCTGGTAAATTGACACCCCAAGCCAATGTTGAAGTACAAACTAGGACTTTGACTAGTCCTTCACTGAAATATTTCTCCACAAGATTTCTAAACAAAAGTACAAAGATATTTCATAAAAGAAAAGATCTTATATTTGATCACATTAGCTTCAATTCAGGCAACAAAGACAGTAAAAGCCAAGTTTTACAATTTTCAAGGAATCAAAAAATTGGTGTATATTGTAGGAAATAGTAAATGGTGGGAAATAACTTTGGTTGCTTAATAAAACTTTCAGACCATTGATTCTCTCTTTTTATACTAATAATATTTACCTTTAAAGAAAAATAAATGGACTTTTTAGGTCTTACATTCCAAAATACACTATCGCTATTGATTTCTATTTCTTTTCTACCATTTTATAATCAAATGAACACCAGAACTTTTTTAAAACCATACACAAAAAATGAACACATTACTGTATCTAGAAAGAAAGTAAATATAGTCGTAACTAACAAGTAAATGCTTGTGAGGAAAGGGAAATCGCATGGTGCTCATTATCTGTGATTGCATCAACATGAAGATTCTTCAATACTGAAACAAAGAATAGCGAAAATTGTTCAATAAAGAAAAAAAGTATTGCCAGCCACTGCTGTTGCAGAATTTCTCTGTACTAACCAGGATAATAGTGAAACGAAGTGAAATTCACATTTATGTAGTCGCAAATTATCGGTGGTGTATCAGCAATACATGAAACAGTTCTAAAATGTATGCAGCCAACAATATATTAAATTTTTCCCCTTTATTCCAAAAGTAGAATTTAAAGGTCAATCCAGAACATTGTTGACTAATTTTAGCTTTCTCTGACCACAAGCAATCAAGAATTTCTAGGGCTTTGTTTTCGCACAATCAGGGAAACTGTCAAAGGCAGGAAATTTCAATTTTGAAAGGATCAAAGTGGGGACAATCTTACATAGTGAACAAGGAAATTGAGTGGCAAAACAAATACTCTGGGTATGTAAAAGTGGGATTTTACTGCAGTTCATAATATTACTACAAAAACACTGAAGAATACTTCTTATTCTAAATAATCACCAAAAAGTATTCGTTTTAAAAATAATTCTGCAGTATTCAATCACAAAAATATCCATTTACACAAAATATATCAATACAACTCCTAAATACAACTCTCAATAATTAAATAAATTAAAATAAAATAATGGCACACTTAAATACTAATCATATGTGCACCTTTTTTTTACAAAGAACTGTTCATTTAATTCAAAAGAAAATGGCATTGAAGAAGTTTATAATGAAGTACAATCCTTTGGAAAGTAATGCTTCAAACAAATCATAAAATACTCAATAAGTTAATATAAGTAAAAAAATACCTGTCTGATCGAAGCATTCCTGCATGATGTATTGCCAGTCCAGCTTGAAAAAGATCACAAAGTTGTTTATTATGAGCACGCATTACTGTCTTGCGTGCAGTTCCTAAAGATGCAGAGCTTTCTACTTCAAAAAGCCCTAACTGTCCTTTCTGTGTAGCCATCTCTCTGAGTACATTGGCAGTGCGTGCTGTAGCATTGCGTGTATGAACAAACACCATTACCTGTAAACAAAACATTTACATAGTTTGTTTCAAAAAAGGATACCTTGTTTAAAATAATAAATTAATTTAGGAAGTTCCATGAGCATAATAGACCACATTAATATGCTAAACTTATGCTCTTAAAAATACATTAATAGATAATAATTAATTTAATTTATTCCATACAAACACAAGAATAAAAGCTACATCTACACATTTAATAATGTTTTCCAAAAATTGCCAAGGTTAAAATTAATTAATTAATTCCCATATCTATCCAATTGTGTTCTGCAGGTTCACATGCAGGTAATGCGATTACGAAAATAATATATGAGGAATATTTTTGATTACAACCTTATATGCACAAGGAACAAATTTCACTAAAATGAACATCCAATTGAATCCAAATATCCAAAGCATTAGTTCCATAAATTATAAATACACCAGTATAAAAAATATAAATAGTAATATAAATTATATCACCAAAAATTATAAATAAACCAATAATAAATAATTCAACCATAAATTATTTCTGTGAATCCTATAAAAAAGTACATATTACTTTCTCTGAACTTTTCAAATTAAAAAGATTTTTACCTGATGGCCATCCTTTAAAAGTTTAGTGACTTTCTCATAGCAGACTTGATCCATATGCGTCATTTGAACCATGTTATTAAGAGCTTTGATACCAATAAAACAAGAGGACAAAGGAACAGGTCGAAACCGACCATCAAAGAAAAACAATCCTGCATGAGGATTCACTCGGAGGAATCTTGCCACATCCAAATAATTAGGAAGTGTAGCCGATAAACCAACAATGCGAATCATACTTTGAGTTGTCTCCACCTGGAAACCAAAAGCCAATTCATTTTATTGACATTTTTTTTTTAGGAATGTCATATAGGATCACGCGAAGCCAACAAAAAAACATCTCGCTCTATACTTTTTCTAATTGGACTTACTTGTCTAAGAGTTCGTGCCACTAATGCTTCTACCACTGGACCACGATCACCGTGCAGAAGGTGAACTTCATCAATGATAAGCAATTTAACCAAATTTGTAAGAGCAACATCACCTTTAACAAACAAATTTGTATTTTTAGTCCTAAGATAAACAAGACTATTGAGATTGTACAGTGACTTGTCTTGAATAATCAATAATTTTTTTCATATCCAGCCAATCATGACGAACAGCAAATAAATACATAGCCCTTCTATTCAATAACTATAATAAAAAAAAGCACCTGATCCTTTCCTTGTCACCACATCCCATTTCTCAGGTGTAGTAACCAACATCTGTGTTTGCAATATCTCTGTCTTTGTTAGCTGCATGTCACCAGTCAATTCTCGTACTGAAATCCCAAGAGGCCCTAGTCTTTTTCCAAAATTTGCAGTCATTTCAGCAGCAAGAGCCTTCATTGGTGCTATGTATACAATCTGGAAAATACAAACCACTACAGGAAAGTACTCATCTAAACATGTGTAACACTCTCCAAAACCACGTCAAGCAATGCATTATGCAAGGTAATTTTCCTTAGGATTAACATCTTGCAAGAATAAATTACAACATTACTACCTAGTCCTGTACAAGACGCATTGAGAACCCCTATGTTCATTTCCATATTGCAACTGGCATGTCATAATTAGGTTTCTCATTTCCTTATGGCAGAGCGTTGACTCAGTGCAATGACTTTTGTCAACCACTTTGAAAACAGACCAGAATTGAAGAGAAGAAGAAAATGTGAAATAAAATTATGAACATACTTGACTCCTTTAGGTACCTATGCAGTTACTTAAATGGGTAAATAGTGTTTCCTCTAATGCTACACCAAACAAATAAAAAAATATAAAAAAAATTGATGCCGTATTTTACTTGGCGAGACTCAGGCCATCAGGACTGCTCTTGTCTGACCACGCAAATTTCATTATACTCATTTTACCATCTTATAGAGAAGTGCTACAGAACGGCCCAGACTTCCCCGCATTACTTTTCTATTTCCTTTGGTCTCGGCTAGCTATTCGGATTTGCCACATACTCTTGCCAGCTGCCATCCACAGCCACCCATAACACTTTTTTTTTTCTTTTTTCTTAATTTTTCGGTTTCCTAATCATAGAACATATATTATTTTAAGAGTATTAAAGAATAGTAAGATATCATCCTAGATGGCAATTTCCATTGAAAAATTTGTAGCCTTTTTAAAAAACTGGCATTTAAGCGCTACTGTAAATTAGAAATTTGAAGCTGTTTTTCACAGAAAATTTTTGAGTGTGAGAAGCAAGGCAAAAAAATTACATATTTGTAATTTTTGAGAAAATAAAAAGGGCAATATAGCTTTTGATCTTCTTATACAGTGCATTTAGCACTATCCTTATCAAAAGATTGAACAGGACGGACAGACGGACGGACCGACGAACGGACCCACCGAGGGAGTTACTGACTGACGAACAGACTGATTGTCGGACTGACTGACGGACCAACAGGCTGTCTGACGGACAGACGGACTTACTGACAAACTGATGTTTTGAGAAAAAAATAATAATAAAATAAAAACACTTCTTTGGTGTGAGGGGACCCCAAAACTTGCATTACAGTTGAAATCTTAAAATCAATTTTCCACTGCTTTACATAACTTTCCCTATACCACGAAAATTATTACAGATATACGCACGTATATATGAAAGTAAAAAGGTACCGCTCAGGCAACAAGCAATTTGAATTTAACTCAGAGGGTTCTTTTAGGCTTGATCTTGTACATGCAGTAAATCTACAACCTCGGATGGATGGCTTTACTTACCCTCTGAAGAACAGCATACAAAGGATTTTATCACCCTTAAATATCCATGGCTTCGATTGGGTATGAACCCACTAACTTGCATACACTAGTCTGATATGCCATTACATTACCAAAGCTGCTATTACACCACTGTTTATTGGAATCATAAAAACAAAACCCTACACTGGCTTTGCTGAGAGTGAATGTCGGAATTTGGCAATGTTCAAGTTATTGCACAGATTATGTTAAGATCTGTCTATGCCAAAGGCCCCTAATTATGGGTTCAGGTTTTCCAGTACTAAGGACCAGGTTTAGTGTCGCAAAATTGTGAGTCCTAAAGATATTTCTCCTGTAGTTCACAGACTTCAGTTCCTGAAAACCGTCGTGACAATTACTTCAATTAAGTAAATGAAAAACATTTTACCCACTTCATACCCCAAGCATATCAAATTTTGTCTGTACAGTCATAAGCCTGGTTACATCCTCAAAGTGATTCTAGGCAGTATCACTAACGAGTAGGGACCAATTTTGTGTGTTCTAATTATCAAATACAACTGAATGCATTTATGCAGTAAAACCTTAAAAAATGTGCCCTACAAAGTATATAAGCCTCCATACTAAAAAGGAAAGTCATTTTCTGTTTTGAATCCTATTTTGCTCACTCAGGGGAAACCCCCATTGAGAAGTGTTGATGTGGAGGCAATACAAGTTCTGTGCAGACGTTCATCAGCTTTACCATCTTTAAAATTGTTTCAATGGCTCATATTACTCAAAACAATCATGATTTTCCTTTTCTAATACTTACAAAGTTTCATTGAATCACATATAATATAAAAAAATCACATTACAATGTAAAAATTAAATTTATGCATTGCAAATGTTGTGAAAAAAATATGAATAGAAAAAAGATGTCTAGCAATAAACATTTTCAAGGAAAATATGCAGAATTTGCAATTTGCAGAAATATGATTCTTATTAAGAAAACAGACAAAATATACCATTATATGCTCCACAAAACACTGTTTAAATGATTGAAATATAATTGGTGATATACACACACACACACCAGCTTACTTGAGTTTACTTTCTGGTATCTGGAGGAAAAATGTGCATACGCCTTAGGGATATCATTTAACTTAAGTAAGGTAGTTTGCCATTGCTTCCCTCACTCACAGGCCCCAAGAATAAAAACTTTTATCTCTCTCTCTTCACAAATGCCTTAACTCAGCACTTCCTATACCCTCAGCAGTTTCTCTATTGCCCCAGTCACAGTTGGCATTGTAGATACTACAAATTTCCATTGTCCCTGTCAGGAATGAAACCCAGACCCTCGGGCACAGAAAACAAGCATTCTGACTGATAACTACGGAGAAGCTACACACTAAATTAGCTCTTATAATTTACCTTAAAAGAATCCTTCTGAATTACTCCATGCTCCATACTTTGCCTCAGTTGATTTACAATGGTTAACATAGCGACATTTGTTTTGCCAGCTCCCGTAGGTGCACATATCAACATATTCTCATTACTGTAGTATGCTGTGTCAAAAACCACAGACTGAATACGATTTAAAGTCTTCATTCCTTGGAATGCCTTCTGACCAACCTTTAGAGAAAATATTAAACAAACAAAAAAATTATAATTATTATTAATTTAATTAAAATACGGTAAAAAATATCACATTGATTACTGAACAAATCAATTTCTAACAGCAATATCAAGCTTCAGATAATGCAAGAAAATAAAAGCATGAATGTCAACCAACATATAAATCATTTATGATTGAATTCTATAAAAATAGCAAACCACAAGAACCTCAGTGAAATGTTGGGTAAACATGGTACTTCAACAGAACACTAGCACAACACTATCACAGCACAAAAATTTGTAAGTCTTAATTACACTCATGACACATCCCAGAAATTTTTGTTAATTAAAGATCTTTAATAAATAGGATAAGAGCACAACCCTCTTCTTCAAAAGAAACACCTGGATCTGAACTTTCAATACATTGAATAAACAAACCTACAATCTTCATCACTTCCCAAAAACAGAAATAGAAAGAATTTGAAAATGTAATATTTACCCAATGGTTTAAAATTGTGTAATATGAATATTGATGTCAAAGACATTATGTTTACATAAAAGTGATTTTTTTCCCACATACTTTAAATTTCATGGATTTCCAATTCTTTTAGTAAAAACAGTTTCTCAATGACATAACATAATTAATTTGTAACTACCCTACATTGGGCAGGTACAGATATTTTTCACTACACTACCAAGAGAAAGAGGGACTTTTATATACCTCATCAAGAGAAGATATTTCCACAAGTTTGTTGCCTACACTAAGAGGAGCAGGTTCACTTGTTGGTATATTAACTTCTTCATACATCTTGTTATCTGTACGTTCAACACCAACAGGTAACATCATTTTCTGACCAGCAATAAAACCTATAAAAAGAAAGAACAATTTTGTCATGAATTAGTATTTTGGTTTTCACATCTGACTGATGGTTTGTTAATGATTCCGAGTGTGTCAACTATCGAGATCATTAGACCTGGGAGTGTAGAGCATGCTTTTTCCTCGAAGGTAACTGGTGGTCTTCCGAGTATGGCAAGATCCTGCAGCTAGTAGGATTTTCCCCAACCAGGTATCTCCCACCAGCAGGACACCACCCCAGCGAAGACATACTCTAAGCTCCCAACTGGTCTGCCGGCATGCGTGTTAATGAAGTGTATGTTAGTGTAAGGGGAGAAGATAGGACACGGAAGATGTAGGAAAAAATTTGGACGGGTCCATGACCAGTTTGTTATGGTACTGCTCTGGAATTCACCTGATGTTGATCACAGAGACCACGGAAAACTACCGATCAGAGCAGCTGGTCACTAGAATTCTCCTCCAGATAGCAACTGAATTTGACCTAGCTGACACGCTAGAGTTGGAAATCCTGTTACTGTCAGGACTCGAATATAGAACCTCCCAGTCAGAGGGACTGAAGTGGCATCAACTGATGCCCTGAGCTATCTCTCCCAGTACATATGTCAGTAACAAAACCCTCTTAACATAATAGGTTTTCATTTTTTCCAGCATAAATCCATAGCAAAGATGTCAGACAAAGTATGAAATTGTGTACTGCATATAAAACATTTTAATATTTAAAACAAGTTTCTCCAACTGACTGCCCTAAGTTTAGCATTCCAATGACAATTAGCAGAAACAAATATAACAGTTAGCAGACTTAATTTGTGTGGAATAGATTATTAATAAGCCAATATTCAAATGATTTTCAGATAATATTTCTGTTCACAAAATGATTCAAAAATTACATGTCATGATTTTTAAGCTGTTCTTTTAGTTTTACATAATAACAATCCTTGAGAGAAGGGTTTCACAAAATATTATTTGAATATATTTTTCTGCCAGTCAACAAATTTGGAACTTTTATTCCAAAACATTGACAATAAACTTCAAAGAAAAAGAAGTATTTTGTAGCTACTGTGTGTGATAAAAAAGGCATATTATGTAACACAAAAAATCACAGATTGAAAATTATCTCAAAAAATGGATGAGTTTTGTATCAACAGACCAAGAGCACATTTTAGAAACATTACTGGTCCTAGTGTGTTTGAGAATGAATTAGACTTACGCAACATATCAGCACTTTTCCTTATAATAGCATCAATAGCATAAATATTTTTAAAATTATTGTGCAGGGTCCTGTAAGTATGTACACAATTCTTCAACTTCTAATTGTTTTTGTCTCGCAAAGTAGAAAATGTTGAGCAACATTTACTACTGCGCGAGACAAAGCACTTGGTTAATTGTTGCATATCATAAAATATTCTCACCAGCTGCTTGCTTTGCAGTATTCTGAGAATCATAGACATGAGGATACACTTCTTGGATTTGGGTACTTCGTGGGCGTGAAAATATGGGTTTCAACATGGCCTTTGCTGCAGCTTGCCTGAAATTCAATTTGTATTTTAATAGATGTGTTTGCAAAGTGTATATATGTGTGCAAAATATACTAACTAGTAACATAATTTTAATTTCTCAACCAGAGAAAAAATGTATTCCTTTATCTTATTTTACACGGAATCGACAACACACAAGAATTCAAAGAACCTCTAAGCACAAATATAATGAAAATCTAAAAACATTAAGCATAGTGGATTGTTAATAATTGTTTAAAAATCTTGGGCATAAATATATGTATATAAAATAAAATTAATAGGGAGAAAATAACTAACACAGGTCCTACACAAAAACACTACTGTTTGTACCCAAAAGTTATGAAACAAGAAAGAATTATCTAATTTAAACTGTTTTACAGAGTAAAAGCATCATTCAATACAAATACAAAAGAATAAAAGAAATTAGCGGAAATATTTCAACAATTATTAGATGATGAAGTCCATTTCTTTAAAGAAGAACTAGCAAAAGAAATAGTAGCCATTATGTGAATAATGAACAAAAGAAGAAAATTTGGTACCTTGGAAATTTATGTAAATATTTGTCAATAAGAAAAATTTCTTCTGGAGTCATCAGTCTTCCTTTGGGAATTCATCAATGCATAATGAATATTAATTATTTAACATACTTCAAACTTTTCCACTCATCATTCCGTATCAAAACAACAATTATATTTCTCATAAGTTAGCTTTCATACTTCAAAATGATCAGAGACAATTACATAATACTTCTAGAAACCCAATTCAGATAAATTAAGAAAAACATTTTGAACTACTGAAACATTGCAGTTTAGGGAAAAAAACACATTTACAGATTCACTCAGCTCTTCAAAATTTCAAGATTAAATCAATACATAAATACTAAACTTTGAGAAGCTGCCTTAACTAAATTCAAATTCTTGAGGTTTTCGTGATACATCAGAATATGAATTACTTCTCACTTTCAAAAAAATACATCTGTTTTAAAGTTTCAGACCATACTTTTGTTACATACAATTATTTCTTTCAGAATGTTAAGAATTCATAATGCTTCAAGTAACACCTTGTTCATCAAGTTAACATAATTCTAGAATGATAACTTGACAATTTAAAGAGAATTAATGCTACAAATATAAATAAAATATGATAATAATCGTAATTCTTTCCCCATTATTCTTCAAATATTTTTACATGATTACGAAGAAAACAGTTTGTGTAACTAAATTCAACAATGCAACACAACGTGCTTGCACACTCACCTTTTAACCTTCAGTTCATTCATATTCACAAGTGTAGGAGAACTTCCTTCATCATCACTTACATTCTCCACTTTTGCAATTATGCGTTGAATACGCTTTTCTTCTTTCAAAGCCTGTTTGATCATCTGTTTCTCTCTGTCAGACTGCACAGTCACTTGAACGCAATAGTTAGGTTTCTTGCTTTCCAACACTACAAAAAATATTATAGAAGAATATTTTTTTATCTTTGCCCCAAAACCTATTTCAATTCATAACTTACAATATGCAGTAAAAAGGATAAAAAGATAAAATTTCTGAAGCAAAAGTTTATAATTCATAAACCATTGCAAAGATAAAATCAATATCAATGAACTTTAAATTTATTCCCAAAATCTTCAAATAAATGTGTGTCAGAACAATCACTTCAGAGTTTAGGTGATTTAAATCAAGTGATTTTTATAATTGATTTAAATCATGATTTAACTCAATTTTGTCTGAAAGCAAAAAGTCCACAAAATTTTCTGTAACATCAAAATATTAAAAATCTACCAAAGGGAAATAAATTCTTTAATATTATTTTAAGAAGAAGAAATTTAAATTCTAAAATGATCTTTAATCTTCAACAGAAAATTTTAATATCAAAATAGAGCAATAGAAAATACATCCTGGGGAGAAGAAGAATCCAGACGCACAAAAACATCAACTTACATGAACGAGTAGCACTGATTGCCATTTTTTCTTCAGTAACCAAATCGGGAGCTGTTATATGCGATCGATGTTCAAACAATGTCTGAATTAGCTCAAACTGGTCAAATCCAAGAAGATCAAAAAGCTGCAAAGAAACAAATGCAACAATGTTTATCACAGACTGTAAAATGGTGTAACACCAGAAATCACAAATCCAGAACCACCAGGCTGTGGATACAAATTATTAATTTTTCTACAAGGCAAATAAGCAAGAACATGCAAAAGAAAGGCTAAATTGTTGTTCTAGCCCAGCATCCGAAATACCAAGGAAGAAGAGAATAGAATCGATTTAGAACAGCTTCAAAGTCAGTGCAATTCTATTGCGAAGAAAGTATTGTAATCCTATGACAAATAAAACTTGAGATTTTATCAGAAATATTATTTTCAGGTGAACATGAAAATGAAAAACTGTCATTCTTTTCTGAAAATCATACCAGAGTATTCAACTATCAATGAGTAAGCTCAGACACTTGAGCTCCTAAGACGAAATCAAAATTTTTTCTTAACTAGATCTACTGTTCTTTCTTGAAAGTCATTGGAAAGACCCCAACACATTTAACAAGAAGTAATTTACATAAAATGTAATGAACTTCCACAGATTTTGGTTTTTCAGACAGTTATCAACTCATAATACTATACATATGAAGTTCAATCAAATTTCAATAATTTTCATTAACAGTGGAACCAAAAAGTAGACTCTCAAAAATGATAAAAGTTTTCCTAAACACAGTTAGTAAGATTTTCTTTGTCTTTCAATTCTCCCATGCCATGAACAATATTATAAATACACAAACAGGAAAAATTGGCAGAAAAAAAAAATTAATTAATGATAACTAAGGCTTAGATTCTTAGGTTTTAATTTTCTGTTTTATTAAATAAATAAATGTCTTTATTGATAATGAAGCTCAGGTTAATTGGCCTGCTCTTCCACCTGCCTACTTTCAAAATTTAAATACAATAGTACGTAATAAAAAAGATCAATCAAAGAAAATACAAATGCCATTTTTTTAATGTACGACAAGAGTGAAAACAAGGGAAGAAGGAGTTGATGGAAACGATGGACAACATTTGTGTGATTAAATTTATTAACTTTAAGTTATAGATGGAGTAAAATTAATCAGAAATATATCAAGTGATTACATTTCTACGCTATAAGATTTTACTCAAACATAAATTATCCTTGTGTGACTCAGCAAGTTAGGAGAAGACGATTGGAAATGAAGATTCAAGTTTATTAATCATTTCATCATTATTTTAAACACATGTATCCATTTCAAAAATTTCTGAGAAATGGCTAAAATGAGTTTTGTCTTCCACATATATTTTAGGATTGCACACAGTTGTTCATTGAAGCAGTACATAAAAAAAAGTAATTGGAGGTGAGGTGCAAATTTTCATGGAAATATTTACAAAGTTGTTTGTTATATTTTACGATTCTTTAAGAATAACTTGGCTGAAGTTCAGAAGTAATAAAATGAGTTAGCGATTTAAATTTGTTATTTAAAGCAATAATGTTTCAGCAGAGGAAAAATATTACGAATGAAATGGTGACTCATTCGACACAGAAAATACAAATAAGAGAAGAAGCTAATAAATAAAAATATTTTTTGCACATAACTAAATTTGGATGGTGTTGTTTCACAAGTTATCTATTACGTTACAACAAAAGCAAATTATAATTGGTTTTTTAACCAGCAATTTACGTACTTCATTTTGAAGATCATCGTTGGAACGTCCTGATCGCAGTAAATTTAAGACGGTCTGGCACATGACATCTGCAGGTAAGCTGCATGAAACTTTTTGTAATTCTCCTTCTAACCATTTTGGTCCATACTGCAAAATAAAATATCCCTCAATAATAGCCTTTTTAGTAGTTCTATAAAATTATAAATGGAAAACATCTGGTACATTCAGATACACAAAAACCAAGGTTTTAAAAACTGGCCAAAGGAAAAGTAACCTGCAGTAAAAAGAGATGATTTTGGGAATGCATTTGTAATATACACAAATAATCTTAGGTACATTCTGTTTTTAACTACACAATAAATGAGTACAAATGCCAATGCACAAATAAGATAAATATGATTAAGGTTTAATTTTTGCAAATTATATTAAAATATGTTCATAGTGCGATAGTACCCAAAAAATATGGGTAGCCAGGAATTCATACTTGAACTTACTTTTCTGTCAGGTTCAAAAGCAATATCTCTCATTGCACTTCCAGCTAAAACAGCAGATTCATCATATTTCATGGAGAAACCCTTAAATGCATCAGTAGTTTCTGTTTGATGTATCAACAGGTCACGTAAAAAAAAAGTGTCAGGAGCTTCAAACGTCCGTTGAGGAGGATTCACTTTGATATCTTCCCCAAACACAAAACCTTGCACTTCACGAGTTCGTACACCTCCACGTATGTATTCCACTAAGCTCTCTGAGAGTTCAAATGATATTTGCTCTACACACTGCACAACATAGATAATTTTCATGAGCTTTTCTGCATCATTTATGAATATCATAATAAAATTATTAAACTATTACTCACATGATGAATTTTATTTGCCATGTTAAGAGAAACATTACCAAACATTTGTTTCAATAGTAATTGGTGCTTGTGTAAAACAATTCTCTCTCTTAAAAATAGGGACAAAAGGAAGACAGCGGCTTCATCTACAGTCTCCTTTGACTGATCTCCACCTATAAAAAAAAGCAATATAAATGTAATTTTCTGAAGTTGCAATCTTTCCAGTTTTATATCTTTATTAGAAAGGTTGTTGAGAATCAGACCTGTAATTTCCACAGCCAAATTACGAAGCTGCTGCATTAATTTCAATGCTGGTGATTTTGGACCCATTTCATTCATGGCATGTTTACAAATGTCTGGCCAGGAATTGGATCTGGGGGAAAAAAATTGGCTTACACTATTGTTCTAAAGAGAAAATTACCCATTTGATACAGTGTGGATGATATATTTACGTTTTCAAGTGAGTGGTATCCCATTTTCGGCGTTGTTCAAGTGTATGTTCAATAAGTTTACTATTTTTCCTGGGGGGCTCTAAAGTTGAAAAAGCTCTCAAGGCACGAGAAAGCCTTGGGTAGGCAGGTTGTGTGTCAACAGATGCCATTATTGCCTAGTAAAGGTAAAGCACATGAAAGTTGACACCAAACATATGTAATATCGTGAAGAGCATATAAATCAGGAGTGTTCCTCATCAAATACAGGATCACATTTCAGTGAAAACACAAACACCTAGCTGACATTACCTTTTATCGTATAGGCACTAAATAAGATTAACATGTGCCCCAGTACCTATCACTACATCGAAGGTGTCAATGTCTCACAACTATCACAACTATATCACGGGCACTAATATGACAAGTGTTAATGATATTCACATTTGATCACATGATTATGGTGATTCCCCATATTGCAGATGAAAATGCAATATTTATATGCGTGATTTTCATTCCATCCACTTAACATAACCTTTCACACCTTGACAACAGCCCAACCATTCATATTCCCGATTCCTTAACACAGCGGCCGTAACCTGGCCATGACCTGACCATAACCAAACATCACCTGTCGTGACGTTTCGGCATTTGAGTGAACCAGAGAGAAGTGAGTGGAACAGTCCCAAATTTCACCACTCGTTGCAATAACCCCGGCTATTTTAAACAAAAGTTTTGTTACATAACGTAACAGGCCAATCTATTTAGTCAAAGTAATAGCTCGAAAATGCAAGGTAATCTAACGGTGAAATAAACTTACTGTACAATACAAATATTTAGAGCTCGGACTTTTAGGTAAATATATTTTTCCCCTTATTATTTCAACAGTTCAGTGGAAATTGAAGTAGCAGTCTCCATATAAGTATCAAATTTCATCACTTATAAATTGTCATCTATTTATTTTATAAAAATAAATATTTTCGCCGAAACAGATATTATTACATATTTCGCTAAATTGTACATGATTAAATTAATATCTTGAATATTTGAATGATTAATACTTTCTTTCAATACACGGTGAAAAACATGTCAGTGGAATGTAGTGGTTGGTCACACATCACATTTTATTATGGGACTTCCCCGCTTACACTGCGGTTTATGCAACTCTGCCCCTGGTAGGAATCAGCTGTTGACAATTTCATCCAAAGGAGCTTGAACTTCACTATAGTGATTATAAGCACATGCTTTCTTGAGCCCCGGAATACCTACCCCCACTCCTTTGCCAATATTAGTTGAATTACGAATAAATTATAGCAACGAACGTTGTAGACAAAATCTGATAACCAGAATGTTTGCTCCCGTGTAATAGAAACTATTTTGCATCGAAAAAGGAAAATAGGTCAAAATAACACAACTCCCCACTCCCCTCGCAACTAGCGAAGCGAGGGCCCAAGAAAACTTGCGCGGATAATATCTGCCAGGGGCAATATGAAAATCGCCATATAAGTGGAGTGAGTATGCTTGATTAGTTGTCAAAACGTCTGAGGGTCATTTTAAAATTCTAAGTAATTCAAGTAATGACACTAGTGATAAAATACACAAGAGTAGCTCCCAAACTGCCTCAGACGAAATGTATAGAGTGATAAAGAGGTTGACGTCACATTTTACTTCGAGGCTTCTCTTGATCTTGATTATTGGTTTTCATATGGGTATACTAGCATTTATTTAACCATGCACTTGACGTAAATCAGCTGTTCACGGTTTCCTCCAATCGGGAGCTTGAATGTCTCTATAATGACCTCGTCACTTAAGGGACATATAAGTTCCCGATTGGATGAAACTGCAACAACTGATTTACGTCAAGAGCACGTTTAATAAATCGTACTGAAATAAACAGTGACGGCTGCAGGGCTGCAGCCCCCCCTCCAGTCCTTGTAAGAATTGTTTAATTTCTCTTTGATATTAAAATAAAATACGCAAAGTAGTATTTCATTCAATTGCATTACCAATATAGCCTACTGCTGAGACGTCTGTAACTTGTGAAAAGCTTCCGCCGTGTTCTGTTGCGATTCCATTCCCCTCCCTGGGACTGCAAGTCCTGTGTTTATGTGTCTCAATAGTGGGAATCGAGGGACTGCAGGAAAGACAGTCCCTGGCAGTCCCATCCTCAGTTTTGCGCGACGTCTACACGACGTCTACGCTCTCAGCAGAAAAAACTTATTACAGAGTCCTGGTAACAAAAATGTGGACAAATTCAGTTGCTAAATTTAGAAATAAAAGTCCTCTAACACGTGGTGTAGCCAGAATCCTTGTTTTGTGGGTCCTTGAAACCGAAAAATCCAATGACGGCAAAACATATCTATCCGTCTGTGAACAACGCTACCGGCTATACCGTTCAGCCGATTTTCTCTAAAATTAATATTATATTGATCTGGCTGATGTCACGGCCCCTTGAATTTGAAACCGATATTTCAATTTCTGGGGGTACTTCGCATGAAGCCGCTGAGACGTTCTCAAAATTTTCAACAAAAAAATGGCTCTCTCGTTTTTTATTAAATTCCATTATTGGATAGTGTGAAAGGCGTTTAAGAGAATGGTGCTAGTCTAATTTTCTTTGAAAAGCCTGATTTTTCGAAAGTTGCAACAGTTCAAACTTTTTTCCTAAAACTAAAATTTTGGTGATAAAGCTTTTTTTTCCTTACTGAAATCTGTTCCTTAAAGATAGATTTTGGAATAAGGTCATGTACAATTTTTGAAACTTTGAGTACTTTTCGCGTCATTTTGCATGAAAGTAAGGGCGAGAAAGTACTACTGATTTAGCATCACTAGTTGGTGTTTAGAATGGATACAAATAGTAATTCTGTTCAATATTTAAAAAGTGAAATTTAGAAGCTTAATTCTTCAAGAAGTGAGATATAATGCTCGCGATAGACCTATACCGGTACTGAACATATCTCAATTCATTTTCAATTTTTGCATGCAGCCCCCCATTAATTAAAGGTACTAGCCGCCACTGGTAATAAATATTTTCAGCCTTTTAACACATACTTTTCACTTTATAAGCATATAAAAAAAATATGCTCCCGGTCTGTGTTCTTGACGTGAGAAGATGAGTGATGAGATATTTGAAGCTCTTGAAGAAAGTCGTTAGAGTGTAATAATGAGTTATCATTACATATTTATTAATGTAATGATACACTTCGTCGTGATACGCTTTTCCGTGATTAGAAATAAAAAAATTAAATAAAAAATAGCACCGACAGGGATGTAGAGTCATGTCGACCCCAGTGCCGTGGCAAGCTGCGCGAGGTTCCTCGGTTACGGATCCGTGACGCGAACGGGATGGTTCCACAGGTCCACGATCGGGATTAATTCGGAGGAGTTCTGTGTCAAGGGGAGTATTGTAAACTCATCCTGGTTCTCCTTGAACTACATACCTACCCTGCGAACTTGATGACATATTGTATTGCCTTATTGGTAGATGTCTTGCGAAAAGCATGTATGAAGCAGAAAGCACTGTATGCAGAAAAGCGATCTGCATACAGTGGTGGACATAATCCCAAAGGATAGCTGCACACTTCTGTTGATCCATTGGCCCTTCCAGAATGACGAAATCGCCCAGGGAATGCCACGAAAACATTCCCCACACCATCACTCTTCCTCCTCCGTTAGTGCTGCCACCAATTGTGTGTAAGGAATTATGGCACGTTTACGTCCAATATAGGCGATGGTCACATTAATGTATCTGGCCTGCGTATTAATGTATTTTATTATATGAATTATTATGTTGTAATTGCGTAGCGCGCTGAATTCGCAATCGAGAGGTCCGGCCATCCTGGCCAGGGTTTTCGTGGTTTCCTTCGGTCATACAGACGAACGCTGGGATGGTTAAAAAAGTCCACGATCACCTCCCACGTCCCACTATCTCTCCTAACACTTCCTACCATAATCCTAATCCTGTCAACCCTCATCATCACCCAATAATAATAATAATAATAATAATAATAATAATAATAATAATAATAATAATAATAATTTCTGTATTTGTATAATTGTTCAAGTGAATGCATTATTTCAATGTTCATAGTACAATAATCATAAATGGTTAGGTGGAGGTATAATAAGAAAATTATTTTGATGGACTCCCTGGAATAAAAAATAGTCATGAACACGTAGGCTTCCGCGGCTTGATGTCACTACCCTGAAGAAGCCTGCGACATGACAGGCGAAACGTCGGCCTATCTGCCAACGACGCGGCGTCACCCGGACAGCCTAGAAGTAATGGGAAATAGTCATGAGCCGCCATTGAAATGAAATCAGGGAAACGTAATGTGTCTTCAAGAAGCAGAATTGGAAATGCAGATTGGCAACGTCAATCGAAACACGATCGGTATTCAGGAACGATCGCAAAAGAGAAAGCAAGAAAACAGAATATAAATGTGTGATTAAATGTCTGAATGCATCCGTTGGACAAAAGAACAAATATACGCTATCTGCACAAATGGAAGTCTGAGGTGAGCGAGTTTCTTCCTCGAATAATGATGAAGCAGGCTAAAGGAGAAGGAAACTTTGGATAGCTCTCGATCGCATATTTTGCCCAGTTCCCAGATATTCTCACAGCGAATAAAAGATAATCCTCCTCCGTATCGTCTCATGAGGGTAACAAATAATCGTATGTTATTTATCTGTATTTTTAATAAACGTAAGAATCGAATAAAACGCATGATGTGTGTACGTGACGTTCAACTATGTGAAGAGAGAAAAGTTGGATTGTAGAGGCAAGATGAGGTCAGGGAACAGAAAGGAGAAGGAATGATCGTGTTTGGTCCCAGACCCTTAGTTTAAGGCATGACTAGAAATGATGGGAGGACATCACGAAAACAATCAGAGTAGTCGGCCTCTGGAATTCTCTTGTAAACTGCAGTCGGCCACCTCGCAGTAAAATGCAATGTTAATGTTCTGAAATTTTTAAAATGGGCACAGAGGGAGTTCGCAGAAAATGGGACATTTTTATAAGCGTACTTTGCACTATTGGAGAAAAAGTGTAAAGAAAGAATTATATTGAGGAAGTATTTTTTTAATTGTCTACATTTCACGCAAAATTCTTCGAAAACTGCTTCGAAAAAATGCACATTATTTAAAGATCTTTGAAGTTATCAATAGGAAAGAACCTCTACCTTCAATGTTGTAGTTGCTGGAAAACACGAAAAAATGAACTTTCGCAATTTTACGAACAAATTATTTTCTATTCTATACAGTTTTCTTCAAATTTTTGAAGTAAAAAATATTTAATGAACATTCATAGGAGTTTTATTTTCTTGCATTCTACGTACATATTGTAATACAGCAAAATTTGGCAATTAAAAAAAATGGCATACTTTTTTCTTACACAATGCAGTATTGCGTTCTGGCGAGCCATGGTGCCTGACGTGAAGATGTAGGTGGATGTTGTCACCCTGTTTGGGGAAACGTCTGCTTGGACTGCTTATTTGCACTGTTATTGCAGTCACGGGAAGTGTGTGACAATGATCACAGGTCACTGACTGAAACTCCTTTACGTGTGAGAAGCATCAATGGCATTGCGTTCCTTGATTAATAACCTGCTTGGTTAAGTGCTGATAAGTATTAAAAGCTGTAGACATTAGTAGTTGGCGTAAAACTTCGAAGAGAATGCTGCAGTGATTGTTTTTTGGTCATGGATTTCACATGTCCAAAAGTTTCTATTACTTCCCAAGACAGAA